GAAAAGATTGAGTTCTGGTCTATCATCTGTCAATCAAAATGCTCTATTGATATGAAAAAAAAAAATTCTACCTTATTAAGCTAGCTTACAAAAGACAGAAAACTTCTATCATATATTGTATTTTTAAATTTAGGTAAAATTGTATACAATTAAAAACAAATTTTTCATAAACTATTCATTCTTTAATTTTTAACAGTAAAAAAATAAATACTAAAGGTTAAATAATAGCTAAATTAAAATATTATCAACTAAGCTTGAAATAAATATTTTAAGATGTCAGGATGGAATTGCACATGCAAATATTTGCTCCTCTCTTTGAACAAATAATGACATATCATCCTTAAATTTATTTCAACATCTTGATCTCCTGTCAGCTAACCAGAGAAAGAGGAAGAGCCTTTTCTCATTCCAATACACCCTCTAGAGTGATCAGGATCTAAAAACACCATACCCAATGTAATCAGCTGAAAGAAAGAGTACAACGGTGACACTCCCATTTTAAGTATGTTCAGAAATATTCTAAGATCAGGTGTGGAAACAAAAAGGCTAAGTGAGGGCCACTGCCTTCCAATTCTTAAGAACTTAGAACTACTCTACTGGATCAGATAAAAGGCCTGCTTAATTCTATATTTTGTTTCAAAGATCATCTATGAGAAAATCAAGAAAAGGACAAGAATGTAAAATCCCTTTCTTGCAATTGTTCCACAGGAAAGGAATATTCTTCCTGATACCTCCAACTACCAGGGCTTCTTATGCTTCCTCAGAAATCTGACAACAAAGAGCAGAGCAGGAAGAAACCAGAAACGCTTACCTGCAATCACAGGCCTATTCCCCAATCGAAAAGGGCAGGTAAGCGACACAAAGCGGCGGTAGGTGTTCGTTACAATTACAATAGCGCTCATTTGCCCGCGAGCTACAGCTACTCTGCGCCACCTGCTTCCGGGGACAAGGGAGAAAGAACCTACCCGCCCAACCGGCCTCTTTCGGGACCATCTTTGCCCCAAGCCCTTATCAGAGGAGTAGCCTCCAAAGATTTTCTGTTTGCTTCCAGTGATTGAAGGGTGAGAAAAGAGACACGCAAGTTTATGAACAGCTCCTTATAAGTAGGAACTGTTCGCCTACATGGTCTGTGGTAAAATGCGTAAGAAGTAGGAAAACTACACCAGCCTGCGCCTTTCAGTTCTGCGAGGAGGGAGCAGTCGCAAGGCGGGCTAGCTGCGGACCTTGCAGACACACAGACACACAGACACACACACGCTTTCTCACCCACCTGCCCGTGCTCAAGGGAAAAGTAGCGGCAGCCCCCCTCCCCCTTCAGCGGGCCCACAACCCCACTTCCTCCCGGGCGAGTGTAGGGAGAGACTCCGCGAAGCCCAGCCTCCGGGCCTGACTACTGCTTAGTTTTTTTGTTTTGGGGGGGGGGAGGTGTTCCACCTACCCGAAGAGGAAGCTGCGATCCCCCTGCCCTTCCTACGCGCCACCCAGGTCTCCGCTCCTCTAGGAAGAACCCTCAGCTACCACGCCGCCCAGGCTCAACGGACAGCAGCCCAGCTTCTCGCTACCGGCCTGACCGCTTGGGGCAGGGCGCGGCCTCCTATAATGGCGGGGAGGGCCCACCGGGCGGCCAAGGGAGTAAGCGGAATCGCTGCGCGTGGTCACAGCCCGGGAAAGGAAGAGGCGGAGCCGGGCAGGCAGCTTCAGGCGCTGAGAGCTGCGCGACGGACAGAAAGAAGGAAGGCGAGAGGGAGAGGGAGCGAGGGAGATACGCGATGCAGCACAGAACTGAGACTTAGCAGTGCTATTGTGTGTTGATGGACAGCGGTGTGCTGCATTTCCCCACAAGGTATTTGTAAACGCTGTATTGGCGTGAATAAAAAAAATTGGGTAAGTTGCACAAATACACTGAGGATGTCGAGGAGATCCTGAGATTATATGATCAAGAATGCGAAGATTCTTCAGTTCGGTATGTTAATCTATTGCTTATATGTAGCTGTTTTAATTTCTAAGTTACTTGTTTATTTCCTGTCGTTTTGAATTTAGTTTTATTACGAATTATAAAAATATTTCATTAATTATTGCTCAAGTAGAACAAGTGATTTGTCTGTTATTGTTTGTGCTTTTATTGGTATGTATTTATTTCTATAATGCTTATCCTTCCAGAACAAGCCAAGTTGTAAGAAATGTAAAAAATACAGAAATTTTAAAATATCAATTCAAAAAGTAAAAACAAAAAGCATTTTACAAAACAACGTTAACAAGTAATCTAAAAGACATTGCTGTATTATCCAATTATTTTCCAAAATATATGATTATTTTTAGAAACCATTTGGAAATGGCTTTTTTTAAAAAACGTAGTAGTATTGCTACTGAAATGTAGCATCTCAAACGGAAACGGTTAAAAGCCCAGTTATTTTTCTCAGCTAGCTAAATAATGACTTTTTTCCTCCTTGTCTTTTTGCTGGAATTATTCTGGGAAGGCTTCTGACTGAATCACCCAATTCGTATATTTCGTTTTGTTCTATATAGTTGGCCATATGCTGATTTAACCCAAATATATGACTAGAATGCTAAGCATCAAGTTTAGCTGTGTGGTTGTCACTGACAATAATCACAGGTTTTCAGTATAAGAAAATATTGCTTCAAAATGAATACAGATAGTCCACAACTTATGACCGCAATTGAGCCCAAAATATCTGTTGCTAAGCAAGCCAGTTAAGTGAGTTTTGTCACATTTTATGATCTTTTTTGCCATAGTTAAGCGAATCACTGCAATTAAGTGAATCATATAGTCATTAAGTGATCTGACTTCCCCCCATTGACTTTGCTTCTCGGAAGCCTGCTGGGAAGGTTAAAAATGGTGATCACATGGACCCCCCCCCCAACAGTGCAGTTATTATAAATACATGCCAGTTTCCAAACCCCCATATTCTGATTATGTGACCATGTGAATGCTGCAATGGTTTTAAGTGCAAAAACTAGTTATAAGTCACTTTTCAGTACTGTAGTAACTTTGAATGATCACTAAACAAATGGTAGTAAGTCAAGGACTACCAGTATAAATATCAGTGTATTAATTTCTAAATATATACTAACTATATATACTAAATATATATTAACGGTATGTTTAGGTTTCGTGTATGTTTCACTTTGAGAGCGGGCAACTAAATTTCATTTTTGATGTGTGCCATTGTGTTCACAGTAAAAAAAATGACAATAAAGGTTATTTTAATCACCATTTATTCATTTCATGTAAACTGAAATGAATAAAGCACAGATAAAAAGCCCAAAATGAATGATTAAATGAAAAGAGAAATAACCAGCAGACCTGTGGCTCTGAGTACAACCACTATCTTGGTTATTCCCCCATGCCTCTGAGTGGAATGTATATTATGGGGTAAAGAAATGTGCATGCTGTCATTTACCAAAGTAACATGGTAAGTTGTGGAGAAATAGTTTGCCTAATGCTAAATTAGTCATTCTTAATCACATCACCACAAACAAAAGTTTTCTTGTGAGTCAAATGGGTTTAGCCAATTCCTTTAAAACTATGTGGTTTTATTAGAAATATGTCTGCGGTGATTAATAATAAACAGTTCTTGTGTCCGTATAAAACAAATATAAGAAAAAATGGCCTTAAAATGTTTTCCTTTTTAAGAATGGTTCGTTAGACTTTATCACCAGACTTGCTGATTTATGAGGACATAAAAAACTGAAAATGAATTGTCTACTATGAAACTGAGGTTGTACATATGCCTTTCTCTAATTATTGTGCATGCCAACTCTAAAGAAGCACAAGAACTTATAATATTGATATAACAGCAGAGTGCCAATGAACACAACTAATTATTGTACAGAAGAATTATTTGTAATTGTATATTTACAATTAGAGGAAGATTCATTTTCCAGTATGTGCAGGTTGTTATTTCAGTAAATTTCAGCCAATAAAACCCTAAAAGATTTTGGATCCATGGATAATATAAACAGATTTACAGCTGATGTTTCATTAAACGCCTCAACATTTTATAAATAGTTAATTTGGTAACAAAAAAACACTCCAAGTAAATACAAAACATTGTTCAAATGGAACTTGAAGTTGTAGAGAAAACAAAAGACCCAATGTTAAAGCAATTTATTATCCGGTGATGAAAGATACCACATGACAAGGTTTTTTAAAAATAATGTTTTAGGGGACTCATTTTAGACGATCTAATACATGTGAAAAGCAATTAAATTATATGAATTTGGATTGAAAACTGAAGTAGTATTTTCAAGAACATTTGAAGACATAAAAATTTATAAATATTCAGTATTTTCTATAATTCTGACAAATGGCACATGCTAGCAGTATCTCTAGTGATATGGACAGAAAAATTAAGAACATCTGAAACTGTTCAATATTTCCAGCATTACAGCAATTTTCTATTTCATCGCATTTTCAGAACTAATGGTTTATATCTAGCATTTTTTTCAATTCTTGAAAAAGATATTCCTGTCTATATTCACAGACATTAGAACTATGGAAGCAAAAGCTGGATTTTTGAAGAAGTAGGATACAAAGACTTTGAATATGGTGTAGGAGAAAATTCTTTAAAAATCAAGTAGTGCTTGAATTACAACCACAATTGAGCCCAAAATTTCTGATGCTGAGACATTTGTTAAGTGACTTTTACCCCATTTTACAACCTTTCTTGCCACAGTTGTTAACTGAATCACTGCAGTTATTAAGTTAGTAACACTATTGTTAAGTGAATCTTGTTTCCCCACTGACTTTGCTTGTCAGAAGGTCAGAAAAGGAAATCACATGGAACGCTGCAACCTTCATAAATATGAGTCAGTTGTGAAGCACCTGAACGCAATGGTTACAAGTGTGAAAAATGATCAAAGTCAATCTTATCAGTGCCATTGTAAGTTTGAATGGTCACTAAACGAACTGTTGTAAGAAGGGGACTATCTGTACAGCCAAGGAAACAAATGAATAGAACAAAAGAGCCAAACTCAAATGACCAAGCTCAAATTATAATTTGGTCAATTAACTGAAGCCAAACTTTGTCCATAAAGTTGGGAAAGGTGGAGGAGAGGAGAACTTGATTATAATAGTGATGAATGAGCTGTTGAGAGAGCCAAAAGGCCAAGTTGCATCCTGAAAAGGGGCAAGTTATTTATCACCACGCATCAATCCCAGCTTTTGGTATATGATCAAGTTTGCTCTTTTCGTATCTCTAGTTTGGACAATTTGACAGCCTGTCCATAATTTCAATAATAAAAGCTTGTTTAATATCACATTGAGCAACGTATGGGCCCATATCTGCATAAAGCTGAAAGGATAAAACTGGAACATAGTCCTGTGGTAATAAGTGTTATTGCACAAACCAAGGCAAAGTGATGTTTGAGTCCAACTGGTACCTGCAGTTCCAATTCTTTAGTTAGCTACCATATAAAAAAAAAGGAATGGCAAATTAGAAGATCACAGATAACACATAACTTTATCATATTTATTGTGAAGTGTACCTGAACACCCACATATGTTTAACTTAAATATTTTAATCTAACAATCCTTTCACATCTTCTATTTTCAAGAGTTCTTTGCAACAATCTCTTTTATGGCATACATTTGTATAAAACTATTCAGATACAGTTGTCACTGAGCTTTATTCCTAAATATGAATGGCTACAGCATGTAAGAATTCTGCTCTACAGCAATAGAATAATTTATAAGTGTAATTGGATGGAAATATTTATCTTTTTATTTTGAACTCAAAGTTACGTTTAATACTTTAAACAATACATTTCATATTTAAGACTGTGTTCACTAGTACTGATGATGTTATCTAGTCAGTTAGTGAAACACCTACTGGATGAATAAAATTTAATCGTTTTAGCAAAATTTAGATTGATAAGCAACTTTTTTTAATTGGCTAGAACTATGTATGGACTAGAATAAAATAAACATTTCAAAATAATTATAGAAATATATATTTGAAGAAAAACCAAAGCATAGAAGAAATATGAATGTACCATTTTATATTTCATGCTCTTCCAATAGCATATATCTAGATTTTTCTGGGAACATGGAGCTTCTATTTCAGTTTCTTTCAGACAGTTCACTGAAAAAAAAGCTAAGAGAAGCAAAAAGAAAGACAGTTTAAATGCAGCAATCAGAGAACAGGTTATTCTTAGACTATAAGCATTACTTTACTTTATGAAGGTATCTCCCTAATGCTTCCTTTAGTATGTAACATTTTCTTGCCAAGTTTCTATGAATCAACACTGTCACTTTTTAATTCCTTTTCAATAATTATCACATACATTTTTGGCAATAGATCATTATTTCTGGACTCTGCAAGACAACAAGGATTTTTCCATCACTTTCTGAGGGACTGTAATACCGGCAGTGCAGCGGTAATAATGCTTTAAAACAGGTAATGCACTTAGGATCAGGTCTCATGTAAATGAGGACAGAAGAATCAGTTGCTAAATACTCAGGAACTTCCAAATCTACTTCATCTGTAATCACCAGTGCCTATGGAAAAAGAACAAATGTATAATGAAAATGACATAAGTTATAGTAACATCTAATTTATATTATAATCCTATTTAGGGAATGGTACTATCTTATTGAAAAGTCTCAAAGTTAGCCTTATTATTCCTATACAGGTAGTCTTCAAATTATGATCCACTAATGAGCCCAAAATTTCCATTGCTAAGCAAGGCAGTTGAATTTTGTCCCATTTTAGGACCCTTTTTGCCACAGTTAAGTTAATCAATCCGTTAAGTAAATCACGTGGTCATTAAGCAAGTCTGACTTTGTCCATTGACTTTGCTTGTTGGAAGGTAGCTGAAGAGATTAAGAATGATGATCACATGACCCCAGGATAGCCATAAATATAAGTCAAGTGCCCAAATTCTGATCAAGTGAGTATAGGGATGCTGTATGAACCTAAATGTGAAAAATGGCCATAAGTTACTTTCTTCAGTGCCTTTGAAACTTTGAACAGTCAATAAATAAATGGTTGTAAGCTGAGAATTATCTATATAACTATCAGTGTTTTTCTTTTACCCTCTCCTTAATACAAGTAGTCCTCAACTTACAACCACAATTGAGCCCAAAATTTATGTTACTAAGTGAGACAGTTGTTGAGTGAGTTTTGCCCCATTTTACCTTTCTTACCAGAGTTAAATGAATCACTGCAGTTGTTACTAACACGGATGTTAAGTGAATCTAGCTTTCCCATTGAGTTTGCTTATCAGAAGGTTGCAAAACATAATCACATGACCCCAGGACACTGCACAGTCATAAATATGAGTCAGTTGCCAAATGTCTGAATTTTGATCATATGATTCTGGTACAGGAGTGTGAAAAAAGTAATAAGTCACTTTTTCAGTGCCATTGTAAATTCGAACAGTCACTAAACGAACTATTATAAGTCAAGGACTACCTGTACTGAATATTTGTGATGGTCTTTTGTTATAAGCAATAACATCACTAAAAATGATACAGAGATTGTAGCCAATTGTTGAATTACTGCAAATCCTTATAGTCACAGTAGCTGGCGTGAACTTTTGATTTTAAATTCCAAATCCTCAAGTCATTATCAAAATGACAAAGTACTACTTTGAAAGTACTTTCACTTTCAGAAGTCTTTAGATATGCGGTACAAAATGGAGGGGATATTTGAGAATCACTACTGCCTGATGTTTTAATCCTAGTTTCAATAATACCAGACAGGAATTACTATTATTAAGATATGGGTACTGTACCACATTTTAATTTTTTTTTCCTAAAGTGTCAGGATATAGTTATTTCAGACATTAATCTTATGTGTTTCTGATTTCAGTTCTTTGATCAATTCTGTTTCCCCTTAAGTACTTATTAAATACTTATGATTGTAAAATTAGAAAATTAATAACATATTTATAAGAAAAAAGAAAAAAAGAATGTATTTAGAGAGTGCTGAAAATGTATTTAATTTTTCCCAAAACTTCATAAAAAAGCATTAAAAATAGCATTTTGTTCTACCTTTCAATATTTCCAGAAATGTTACATACTTATTGCTAATTGTTTTGTGCTGTATCTGATGCAAAATACCATTCAAAAATCATACCTCAGTGAGATTATGCTGTTGTAATGATTTCAATTCATAGGGATCCACATATAATCCTCTTGGGAGATGTACTTTAATTGCCAGCTTGCAACTTTTAAGGCCTTCATCAGCTATACCAAAATCTACCCTAATCAAGAGATCTCTAACACAAACAAGAAAACAAAGAAAAAGGATTTTAATAGACTTGCAGAGAATACAAACAATTTAAAACATACCAGTTATATATCTTTGTGTAAAGAAATTTTAAATATTGTAAATCTGCAATTGTAAATTTAATCAGCAGGTTTTTTTCTAAAAATCTGTATATATTGTTTTAATGTTTTTAATGTAAATAGCTTCAAGTCACCTTTGGCTAGATGGGTTCCATATATTTAATAACTTTAATAATTAGAAGATTACACTAAGTCTCATTGAAATTTAATGAATTCACTTCTTCATAATAATGCTTAAGCAAAGCTTTTCATTCATTATCATCTAAGTCACATCACAGAAATTAATGTAAATGCCTGGACCTAAAGCTGAGATTAAGTCACAGCCCAATTAATTTTGCAATATTTGAATATAATTACTACATAACTAGATATATGTAGACTGAGCTCCATACATATCTATTGGACTAAGCAAACTGAATATACACTAATAAAGATTAATATTACCAATTATCTCGCCTCATGTCCGTATATACCAGAAATGTATTTCAACATCATTCAGTTGCTCAGTTAACTGTTTATTAAAAGTACACATGCTTTTTGACCCAAAATCATGCTTTGATAACAAAAGAAAAATTTCTCAGAATTTTAAGTATACAGGTTTAAAATGTAATTGAATTCATAGAATTAAAATATTAAAGATTGATTAAAAGAAACTGTTCCTAGTCATATAAAAGCTGCTTGAATAGCCAAGTAACTTGTGTGCCCTATCTAAAAAAACTGAATAAAAGTGTATATGCCTATCAGATATAATTAGAAAAAAGCAAAAGTGATGATTTAGGCCTTACTGAAACACTGTTAAAATTCACCAATCAATATTTGTGATAACTGACCTATGAAAGCCATCTTTCAAAAGCTGTTGCGAGATTTCAGGACATGTGTTCTGTGCATCTATTAAAACCAGAAATTAAAACCAGAAAGGTCTTTACTGTTTTCAACAATAGGTTATCATTTGTAAACAGCATAATACAGAATTCTAACACTTTCAAAATTTCAATATTCTTATGTCCTTAATCCACAACAGAAATGAAATTATTGATATTGTAATAAATATAAAAAGACTTCTTTCTTGAAGTCAGATAGCAGTCCTTTAACTTAATGGTTGCAAACTGTTTTAGTCCAGCCTATTGTAGAATGCAAAAATATCTTGTCCCCAAATTTTCAGCAGCCCGAACTTCCAATATAAATTAGAAGATTTCTGGCTGCACTGCCACATACCTCCCGTAACAAGATAAGCCTGGCTCCATTCCTTTCAATATTCTAAAAGACCTGGTTTGTTAACAGGCCTGGGACTGCCAGAAAACTGGAGACGTATTTAGAGGGTTCCATTGTTGAGGTGGCTATTCTTATTCAGATTGTAACTTACATAAAAATTCAGGCATTATACATAGACTAAAAAATGTCAGAAAGGAGAGAATATCCCAGTTGAAGGAACACATTTTTCTTCTACTGGTACATTTCAAAATAAACCTGCAAGACAAAAAAAAGTCACATTATAACAAATGTACAGAATATTTTGCATATTACAGATTATTTTGTTACATAACTATGAAAATGACAATAAGAATTAATTCCATGTAAGATAAGTTCTTAAGTTCTGCAGCTGTTCCTGTCTACTGGCTTTATAAAGTTTCAAAAATGTCCAGCACAGCATTTTAAACTTATAAGCTGCCTTGTGCATCTTAGCATACATATATTTATAACATCTCACACTGTATATATAAAATCATTTCTTATGTATATATACATCACAATTCAATCATGTATTCTTTATTTGTATACATGCAATAAAAGAAATGCTTTTGAATTTGGAAATTGACTCGTATCTTAAGAATGCTGATACAACTCATAATGTTTGAGTACAAAATCCATTGAAATCAAAAGTTTCTTTGTAGAAAATAAACCTATTTTGCTAAGGACATTTTTAATCAATAAAATGGATTTGTCGTAAAAGATAGTCATGCCTAATCAACATTGGCTGTATTTGAAAATCTAAAATATGGTAATACTGGGGCAAGGCTTAGATCAGCGGTCTTCAAACGCTGGAAATCCAAAAGTCATAAAAGGGCCAAGTTTGAAGACCCTGGCTTAGATAGTACTTGGGTGAGAAAACACCAAGGAGTCCCAGACTGTAGACTATACCAGAAGTTAAAAAAATAGAAAAAATAAAAGCAATGATAAGCCATCTATATCTAGTCATCATGTGCAAATTGAGTAGCCATATAAATCTGTTTAATAAATATTGTTGCCAAAACAACACAGATATGTCCATGTTAACGGAAGTCAAACTCAACTCAAGGTGAACTTTTACTAATACATATTTTCCAAAGGAGGAAAGGGCCATGCATCCATCCATAGATCATTCCATAGATTATTCTCCCAAGTATTTATATGCACATCAAATAACCAAACTGAAACTATCAATAGAATTATTGCCCAGTAGAAAAGTTCTTACTTGAGAATCAGAAAGGCTGCAGTTGCAAAAATCTGGACATTTGTTAATACTAAGGGAACTCTTAAGAAAAGCGGAGTTCATGTGTTATGAAGCATAAACCAGGCAACTATCTTTCATTTACTGTATTGAGTTTAAGTTAGATGTGCATCCCAACAGCTCCTATTTTTCTATAACAATTTTTCTTATAGAAGAAAATATACGTAGCTCAGAGTTGAACTGCAGAGTCCTTGGTGCTCTCTGAGCTTGGTTGTTTGCTTGCAGATGTTTTATTACCCAACTAGATAACATCAGTGCTAGTGCAGATGTTTTATTACCCAACTAGATAACATCAGTGCTAGTGCAGATGTTTTATTACCCAACTAGATAACATCAGTGCTAGTGCAGATGTTTTATTACCCAACTAGATAACATCAGTGCTAGTGCTCCTTTTCTATGTAATAGTTTCTCCTAACGGTATTGGTTTGCTAGTTCCTTGATTAGGATATTATTTTCTGCTTGAATGTTTAGCTGACGTTGATTCCTGCTTATCTGGGTACTGGAGTGGAGGTGTATATTGCTGGCCAGTTTATCTGAAAGCCAAGCTTCCAGGAATACCCTAGTATTTTGGGATTTGGCTTGGTCTAGGATGCTCAGTTTCCCAATTGAAACTGTGGCTCAGTCTGTATATGAGATTAAGGAGTTTTCATGTGTCTTTTGACATAGAAATAATCCAATTTACACCCCATTGAAAAGAGATAACACAATGCTAAGAAGGAAACAAAAAAGATCAGAACACACCCACCAACCAGGGCAGGGCAAGCTACTTTATAAAGAAGGAACAAACCCCACACTGACAAGCATTGATGTTATGTATTTGGGTACCGAAACATCTGCAAGCAAACAACCCAACTTAAAGAGCATCAAGGACTTCATAACAATCACTCTGTGAGGTACAAAGTATGACTGGCCACTTAGTTTCCATGGCACAGAGTCCACTAGAATCTGGTCTTCCTGGTGCCAGTGCAACTCTATACCAGATACACTGCTGTGTGAACCTATCAAATGCGAACTTTATACTCCAGTAAGCGAACTAAGTCAGATTGTTAACTCATGATAAAGTTAACCAGGGAAAACTCTGAAATGCAACTAAACCCAAAGAATTGCCACAAGCACAGTACAGTATCAAAATAGACAACCTAATTTATTAGTCTGTTCAACCTACGCCCTCTAGTCCCTCCAACGTGAGGGAAGGAGAAACTTCCTGACAGTGAGGACAATTAACCAGTGGAATAGCTTGCCCCCCAGAAATCTTGGGCGCTCCATCACTGGAGATTTTTAAGAGGCTAGACTGTCACTTGTCTGAAATGGTATAGGTTCTCCTGCTTGAGCAGGGGGCTGGACTAGAAGGCCTCCAAGGTCCCTTCCAGCTCTTCTATTCTAAGAGGCAGCGGAGGGAAAACACTTTATCTACTCTTTCCTTTTCAACGGAAGAATAATGCAACCTCAACATTACTGTACAACCCTCCGTACTTCTTACAGGCCTTCTTTCCGTTTATAACTAAGACCCCCCCCTTAGGTCTGTCCCACTTCCGCCAGACTGAAAAACATACAGAAGATAAATTATGTACTGTAACCTCCCGCTAATTGAAACTGCTTGTAAAGGCCCAGATGTGCCACAAATCTTTAATCCAATCACAGACACAATGCTCAATTAGACAAACCCCACACTGTTCCGAGCATGAGCATCAAGTTCAGCTACTGGCCACTTAGTTTCCATGGCATCCACTTAGTGCAAGATACACTGAACCTATCAAATGCGAGGCCTAAGAGAAACTCATGATAAAGGGGAAAACTCTGAAATGGAATTGCGCACAGTACAGGGGTTCAACCTAAGGTGAGGGAAGGAGAAACTTCCTGACAGTGAGGACAATTAACCAGTGGAATAGAGAAATCTTGAGGAGATGAGGCTAGACTGTCACTTGTCTGAAATGGTATAAGCAGGGGGCTGGAGCCTCCAAGAGCTCTTCTATTCTAAGAGGCAGCGGAGGGAAAACACTTTATCTACTCTTTCCTTTTCAACGGAAGAATAATGCAACCTCAACATTACTGTACAACCCTCCGTACTTCTTACAGGCCTTCTTTCCGTTTATAACTAAGACCCCCCCTTTAGGTCTGTCCCACTTCCGCCAGACTGAAAAACTTACAGAAGATAAATTATGTACGTAACGTTTGTCTCCCGCTACCCAAATAACCCACGGAGAACTGAAAAAGGCAAAAGCGGCTTGTAAAGGCTAATCCAGATGTCGCCACAAATCTTTGCGAGTTTTCTTTCATCACAGGCCAATTCTTAGACACCAATGCCGAGGACCAGATGCAGTAGCTACGCCTTTCTGCATTTAAAGTGATGAGGGGAGAAAATTGGTCTAGGCGACGGAAGGGAAAAGGAAGAGCGATGTCCGTGGGATGAGATGACTGCTGTATTTTTAAAGGGCTAGCAGATTATGATATTTTGAATTAACCCAGCTGTTGAATGCAATAAAAATTACAGTAATATCAATCTATTTTTTTTAATCTACAGCTGGGTGGCGTTATTAGGACCAACCCAAAGGGCACAAACTGCTAATCATATACAAGCTTTTGAACATTACAGAACCTCTTCTGTGTCTGAAGAGTTGTGGAGCTTAAAAACCTGCTCGTTCTTTCACACCAAATAGGACGGTGATCCGCATTAAAGTACCCGGAAGCGACTTCGTTTGGGCTCCTAAAGGTTCTCCTCGAGTCTCAAAGTTAGACCCCCCCCTCCTCCGCCCAAACAACAGCTGAACGCGGAACTGGCGTTCGGAACAACAACAAAAAGAACGCCGCGTGTCTTCAAGCACCAGCAAACGAATTCCTGCCGCGATCAAATGGTCATCATTTGCTCCTCCCAGCTGCGATTCTTGGCGCGGGGGAGAGGGGGGCGAGGGCGATCCAGGCTCGGCGTTATCTTCACAGGAAGCCCCGTATCCCGAAACGATTTCAAAAAGCAGAGCGAGAGGTTTCAATCCACAGGGGCGGCTGTAGCGGAAGCGGGGCTGAACTACGGCCGGATCGGCGAGTCAACCAAGTCAAGAGTGGAACGCGCTGCTTCCATCCGCCTTGAAGAGCGCCTTCTTTCGAGCAGCCAACCACGCTATGCTAACCGCGGATCTGGCTGGTTTGACTGCGCCCTCTCCTCCTCCTCCTGGCTACGAGGCATCCTATCCTACTCTCTTTTGCGCCCCTAGGCCGCGCGCTTGCCCTTCCTCGTCTCTACGGAAGAGCAGGCCGAAGTTTTGATTAATAGCCTGACAATAGGGTAGAAAATTGCCACTTCGAGCAGTGTAGATGAGATCCCTGTGGGAAGCCTTCAGCTTGTGGGCCTGGCCTCTTTCTTAACTTCCCGACGAACGACGCTACGCGGAACGCTCCAGTAAACTGCCGAAACTCGCGCGGTGCTCCTTTTAAGTACAGCGCTGCCTTATCTCGAGAATAGGTCTCCCAGAAGAAAACGAAATGGCTGAGATCTCTCCTCGCTGACATTACAGCAGAAGTTGGGATGTCTTATGTTGCCAAAAAGTGTGGCATCCAGTTACTGCCACCATCTATCATTTTGATCTATGAAGACCCGTTTAAAAAGAATCTGCGCAAGCGCATCATGCCTATCCGGAATTTTACCAAATTCTCAGGTACAATATGATATATTCCAAACTTTATCACTGGTATTTTCTCACGCATATATCGTGTTCAGTGCCCATTTTTCTGCATTTATTTGGGAATGGTTTTTGTTTCATTGAGTTCCCATACTTTGCTCACTTCATTTTATAAATTTGATTGTATTATCTATATTTATAAGAGACAGATATATTAAGACACTGTGAATGTACATAGCACGATCCTATTTCTAAAAGAAATTAGTTGTTTAAATTTGTAGAGCATTGAGATTGACCTAGCTTGTTCTCAATACATCCAGGCCATTAATTCTAAAAGTTTGGGAAAGATACTTCATGGATCAACTGTCTGAATTTGTTGTTAAAAATTTTGCCATGTCATATCTTTTCAAAGCCACAGGTCTGTTGCTGTAAGGACTTCCCATGGGCCTGTTCACTTTATCAATAATCCTAATTTTGACATCTTTGCTTTACAAAACATTCAATATTTACAAAATATTGAAATAATTCAAGAATTCTGCCAAATTTAGGTTGTATCATTGTAGCTCTTAAAAGTATGCTGCCATGGCCATGTGTTATAAACACAAATGGTTAAAAGAAAATACGTTTTAAGTTTGTTTTATTTAAAGCCTTTCTAATGCACAATTCCAAAATTACTTTAGAGATTTTTAAAAGTATAATCATTATTTTGACCTTTCATACAGACTGCAGCAGAGCGGCAGAGCAACTGAAGAACAATCCTCGGCACAAGACATATTTAGAAGGGGTATCATTGGAGCAGCTAAAAAAGTTACACAATTTGTTGAGATGCCACCTTCAAGGACAAACTTTGAGTCAGAGTTTGAAAAAAGTTGAGCAGAATGAAACCGTTGATCCAGAAGAGGATCTAAATAAACTGAATGATGAAGAGCTAGCCCAAAGGAAAAGAATCATGGATGAATTGTTTGAAAAGAACAGAAAAAGAAAAGAGGACCCAGATTTTATCTATAATGTAGAGGTGGAATTTCCACAAGATAAGGAGCTTGAAGCTTGTGAGTGGGATACAGAAACAGAGGATGAATTTTAATGCAAAATTAAGCTTATGAGGACTTTTAGGGACTGTTTATAAATTACATATACTTTGTTTGAGTAACAATATTTGACTAAAGTTATCAATGAAAAGTAGCATTGTGTACTGTCAAAATGATTGACATGTTTTTCTTTGGCATTTAAAATATTCTGAAATATTCATATTAATATGCAAAAATGTGTGTATAGAGCATGAATGTCTTGAGTAGAAAATCTGTATTGGTTCTTGTATTGGTATGGGAAATATCCATTAATTAAACATTGACTTACATTTTATGCAGACAGGCATTGGAATAGCAGCTACCATTATGTCTATTGCACGAGCACAAAATGGCACCTGTTATGCTTGTGAACTGACAAAGTGCATGATCTAACACAGTATTCCTGAAATGCAACCTTGCTTAACCCAGAAACTAAGCAAAACTGGTGAAAACAAAAGGAGATGTGTCACTAGAGAACCAACTGTATATGAAAGCACATGTCCTGCAAACATTCATATTTATAGACATGTTTGCAAGAAGCCATTGAATTGTATCAATGGGGTAGAACTTATTTGGCAAGATCTATTGTGAGAAATACAGATTTAAAAAGGCTTCCTCATCCAGGAATTTTCTAAATAAAGGAAATATCTGGAGTAAATATTCAGAAGAACTAAAATCAATTTTTAAAAATAGTTCATTCTTAAACGCAATTCTTCCACCTCTACCATAAACTTTTGCTTCAGGGATTAAGTCTCTCAGAAGTTGAACTTCCATTTCTGACATCAATATTGAATAAGTTTTGGGCAGATTCAAATTCCTCATCCATACCTTAAGTGAAGAAAGAGCAACCCATTTCAGGACATAATATGATTTTTGAGTTAGAATTTTCACTTAGAGGAAGGAGACCCCATTAAAGCATTATTGGACCCCAATAGCAACTTTTAGTATTTTAGAAGTGATTTCCATTATAAAATTATACTCATGTCAGCTGGAAGGAAAGAACATTCTTAATTGTTTGCCCTAGCAGTTCCCTATGTTAGCAGAAAAGAAGTGAGCACATCCACCAACTTCCTTCCGTCATGTGAATACCTTGAGGCTAGCTGCTAGATGGTCATAATGGCACAAGGAAACTGCAGTATACATGCACAAACAATTTTGTGGGAAAGGCAGGTGTTTTTTGTCCACAAATAATTTATATTGGGATTAAAAATACTGTACTTATATGGAAGAAACTAATTTTAAGTACCAAAAATTTGACTCGTAGAATTCTCAGCCATCCTACATATTAACTTTTTAAAAAAAAATGGCTTATAATAACCAAATAGATCCTTTTTAAGAGAAGAATTGGGGCTTAAGTATTTTGGCCATATGTATATAAATATATATCTTTGTAGGTTATTAATGTAGGTATTTAGCAAATGTTCTGTCAGTAATAATATGTATTCAAGATATTTATTAAAAAAAATCCAGCATTTGTTCTCCAGAGGGCAGTATTTTCTCATTTAAAAATCTGGGACAAATTATTGCACTTAAAAAGAATTTCTATGTTATTTATCAAAATGTAGTTTGGGATATAAAGTAATTTGGGAATAGGTTTTATTATTGTATTTAAGAATTGTATATTCTGATGTCTAACAAACAGCAATAAATACATTTTAGTGACATTTTCTTGGTCTGACAAGAGATTTTTTCTAAGAATATCAACAATTCCTGACACTACAAAATATAATTTAGGTGATCAGCCCGTTTAATGCAAGAAACCTGAATAATCAAGCATCTTTTACAAAATGGATCTCCTGTAAATCATAGCTTTAACCTTCAACTTAAATTTAACTTAAATTTATACTTTCTGTAGATTTGACTGCATTTTCTCCATTTGGAATAAAGCAAGATTTAACTCTATCCTTTTTTATTATTATTATCAAAGCACTGGGATAGATTATACGTACATTGGTTCCAAGTAAGTTACTAGATATATGGTGATGATAGGAATATAACTCCATACAGTACCCTCTCTGGATGGTGCCCTCTGACAGTGTTCATTAAAGTAGTTAAGAAAGCACTTTTTTGCAGAGCTTTTAATTCATTGTAAAGGCTGTTGCTGGACCATGGGTATTTCAATTTATGATTTTATCAATCATATTTGTGCTAGATACATGTGTCATTGATTTTGATGGTTTATTGTAAACTTGTAAACAGTCTTGGAATACAGCTGGAATAACTGGAAATATTTGTTTAAGTTGTATGAAGAAAAATACAACTTTATTCAGGCTAAACTTAATGGGAATTATGCCAATTTGGTTGTGGTTTTAAGTGTTTAAAAGTTTAATGTTATAACACGACTATCTTTGAAACACGCAAAATGTCTATTTGCAATCATGTAAAGTCATACTTTGTTTAATTATGTTTGACTGAATAAGCCACAAATGAATGCTTTGCACATGATTTGCAAACTACAGTGATTGAGTAAAGTAAGCCAGCATCCAAACAAATCAATTTATGATGTAATGCAGAGTGTAAGCCCAGCCACAATATTGATTATTTGTTTCTCTTCTTTAGTACTGGATTCTCAGATATTCTAGAAATGCAGTACATGAAACAGTAATAACACTGTGGTAAAAAGCAGCTACAGCATTAAAGAGTGAAGACAAAAGCCACTGAAGACAAAAAACTGTTGAGGTCTGGAAACTGGAAGCAGCCCTTTGAGGTTAGCCAATGCAAAAAAGACAAGTTTAATTTGGTGAATGTTATCTCTATACAAAACACTTTTGAATAGTTGTGTAACAGTATAGTCTGTTCTTGAAACTAAAGATCTGTGGCAAAAGGTAAGGGACAAAGTATTAATAGTGTTAGGCATTAATGCACAAGACTCATTTGAATGTGGTAATGCAAATCAACCATCCCATCTCTACAATAAGAAGCCTTCATTCTCATTTTCACTATAAATGGTCGGGGTACAAAGTATGTGAATGCGCACAAAGTATAATGATTCTGGTGAATGCTATGTTTTTTGTACAGCTTTGTGAAGAATTTGAAATCTGAGTTGTGTTCTCTATTGTTTCTTGTAAAATATCCTCTGCTCACTGCTGAAAATAGGCTATACAGATTTCATGGAATATATTTAATTGAATTAATTGTACTATAGCATGCTTCTATAAGTAGTTTCCATTAATAGTAATCTAAGACTTTAAAAGCTAACTGGGTTAGCAAAAGTATAATATTAATTATAATAGTGATACTACTTGCCCTTCTTTGCACACCACTCTTGATTCTATGATATTCTCATTAGGTAAATGTTTTTATAATTTCTGTAATATCCTACTCCTCAATTGCCATATCACACCATTAGCTATGTAATAATCTTCTCCATAGTGCTGACTTTTGACATTCATTCATGTATTATATCTGAAAACTACCCAACTCACAGCTATTCTGGGCAATTCACACAGGAATTAAAAATACAGGTGAAAAAATATAACAATAAAGACAAAGGCACACAAGATGGTACAAAAAGCATAACTCATACTCAGAGGCTGCAGTCTCTCTAGTCAAAAGAAGAACCGGGACTTGAAGGCTTTCCAAAGTGCCTGTAGGTGTGAATCCCCCAGTGCATTCCTCTCAGTTAAAGCTCATTCCAGTGGACAAGCATAAAGAAATATAACTTGTTTCCAAAATTTTACCCCTCTTATAGACATACATGCATAATGTACAGCAGAAGGAAGCAAGAAGATGAGAAATTTCAGATGAGGAATTAAATGCTGAAGGCAGAACCGTACCACTAATACCAGCAAATGCACTAGCTTTCATTTCTCTGCAATGGAATCTTGTTGAAGGGGCCAAAGTAGTGTTTTTATTACCGTTTAGATAATCTCCATAGCCAAATCCCAAGAACCTGCTAACCAATTAAGATCTCAGGCAGCAGTATTAGTCTTGCCATAACTTTGCACAGAGCACAATAAGCTGATGTAAAGAGTGTAAGAGCCACAGATTATTTGGGCTCAGAGCAGTACATGAAACAGTAATAACACTGTGGTAAAAAGCAGCTACAGCATTAAAGAGTGAAGACAAAAGCCACTGAAGACAAAAAACTGTTGAGGTCTGGAAACTGGAAGCAGCCCTTTGAGGTTAGCCAATGCAAAAAAGACAAGTTTAATTTGGTGAATGTTATCTCTCAAAACACTTTTGAATAGTTGTGTAACAGTATAGTCTGTTCTTGAAACTAAAGATCTGTGGCAAAAGGTAAGGGACAAAGTATTAATAGTGTTAGGCATTAATGCACAAGACTCATTTGAATGTGGTAATGCAAATCAACCATCCCATCTCTACAATAAGAAGCCTTCATTCTCATTTTCACTATAAATGGTCGGGGTACAAAGTATGTGAATGCGCACAAAGTATAATGATTCTGGTGAATGCTATGTTTTTTGTACAGCTTTGTGAAGAATTTGAAATCTGAGTTGTGTTCTCTATTGTTTCTTGTAAAATATCCTCTGCTCACTGCTGAAAATAGGCTATACAGATTTCATGGAATATATTTAATTGAATTAATTGTACTATAGCATGCTTCTATAAGTAGTTTCCATTAATAGTAATCTAAGACTTTAAAAGCTAACTGGGTTAGCAAAAGTATAATATTAATTATAATAGTGATACTACTTGCCCTTCTTTGCACACCACTCTTGATTCTATGATATTCTCATTAGGTAAATGTTTTTATAATTTCTGTAATATCCTACTCCTCAATTGCCATATCACACCATTAGCTATGTAATAATCTTCTCCATAGTGCTGACTTTTGACATTCATTCATGTATTATATCTGAAAACTACCCAACTCACAGCTATTCTGGGCAATTCACACAGGAATTAAAAATACAGGTGAAAAAATATAACAATAAAGACAAAGGCACACAAGATGGTACAAAAAGCATAACTCATACTCAGAGGCTGCAGTCTCTCTAGTCAAAAGAAGAACCGGGACTTGAAGGCTTTCCAAAGTGCCTGTAGGTGTGAATCCCCCAGTGCATTCCTCTCAGTTAAAGCTCATTCCAGTGGACAAGCATAAAGAAATATAACTTGTTTCCAAAATTTTACCCCTCTTATAGACATACATGCATAATGTACAGCAGAAGGAAGCAAAAGATGAGAAATTCAGATGAGGAATTAAATGCAAGGCAGAACCGTACCACTAATACCAGCAAATGCACTATTTCATTTCTCTGCAATGAATCTTGTTGAAGGGGCCAAAAGTGTTTTTAACCGTTTAGATAATCTCCAAGCCAAATCCCAAGAACCTGCAACCATTAGATCTCAGGCAGAGATTAGTCTTGATAACTAAGAGCACAATAAGCTGTAAAGTTAGAGCAAGGGGCAAGCAAAGAATTATCTGCAGTGGTTCCATCTAAATGATTCAGCAGCTCCCTTCACAAATCATTTCTTATCATTTGCCTTATAGATTATATGGTTTTTCAGTAGTGTATTTGATTAGAGAAAAGATAAAGTTTATTCCCTTTTTTTCCCTGACATCCTTCTGATTTTTGTTAGGCAATGCCAGATTCAGTACTCAGAACTAAAGTTGATTTTACTCAAACCAGCCAGTTAATCTTTCTTGTTCTTAAATGTGGTAAAACAAATTTGCACATCTGTTTTACAAGAAAAAAAATAGTTCAAAGTATTGTTATTCTTCTGAAGAAAAATCATTACTTTTCAGTTGCATTATTTCACAGTTACTAAGAAATGGGTAAAGTCAAGAAAAAAACATCATTTTTTCTCTTTTCCTTGTACTAGAACTTATATCTTAGTAATGGGAAACATGACTCTATATTTCAGAAATAAAAGATGAACTAAGATGCATCTACGCATCTTCAGGATGTGTATTCATCAGAATAAGAGTTGAGGTTTACTCAGCATGTGGTTTCCCGGCAAACAACCCTCTACCACAGGAAGGCCTCAAAAAGGCAACATAGATCCATATTTACTGAATAATTGCTTATTTGTTTTCCTCAAGCAATGGCAGTTTAATTCTTTGCCACAATAACAACGCTGGCATTATGGCACAATAGGAAAAGTCTCACAGAAAACATGTATACTGTAAACCTATCTGTTCTTAATTTGATAATCTTCATAAGGCAGGCTTTACACTTCTTTGAAAATTGCTATTTTAAGTTCTGAATTCTGAACCCATTTGGCTAAATAGATTATTGTATTTTTCAGCTGGGACAAACCATACTAAATAAGCAGTTCTTTCATATTTTTCTTGTCTACTTTGCAGTTCCATTGCTGCAGTCATATTTATTTATTTATTTGATTTATATAGCCTTCTAAATCATGTACATGAATCTAGGCAGCTGACAATAAAATAGATAAAATGCATAATATAAAAACACATAGCAGCCAAGCATCACAAAATGATCATCAACAAAGTCAAGAGACAACCTCTATTGTAAACCCAGGCCCCCAGATCGAAGCCCAAAACCAAGGTTTCAGAGCTTTGTAAAAGTCAGGGTTGGGGCTAGCCTAATCTCAAAGGGAATTACAGTATTTTCCAAAACATGTTTGCCAGGATAGAAAATGTTCTCTTCCTGAACACTCCCAGCTGACACTCCTTAGCTGAGGCACTCAAAGAATGCTCCTTGTGCCATATCAGGTGGAATGGGTAGAAGCAATT